TATATATATATATCATAAAATAGATAAAATTAAAATTTTCTTTCAGCTTGTATATATATTTCTTAAACATGGAACTGACAAACATTTCAATTGAAATGTAATTTGGAAAACAATACATGGAGTATCTATAACAGTACCCCAGGATCAATAACAGTATTGTTATCTGTTTCAAGTATCGGAGCATTTTGTATGAATACTTAAAATGTAAAAATGCTGGTATTGCTACTAATACTGTTCGGGACACCACTAGGTCAGAGGTGTCCAATCCTGTCCTTCAGGGCCACTATTCTGCATCTTTTAGACCAGTGTTTTCCAACCCTGGTTTGTTTTAGATGTTAGAGCCACTATCCTGCAGGTTTTACCCATTTCTCTGCTCCAACAGACCTGATTCAGTGATTGAATCACTTCTTCAAATTCTGCAGAAATCTGTCAAATCAACCATTCATTATAATCAGGTGTGTTGGAGCAGAGAAACAGGTAAAACATGCTGGATAGTTGTTCTTTGGAGGACCAGAATTTTGACACCTGTGCTGTAGTCCTGAAGTTTGAGCCCAGACCAGTGAGTCGTGGAAACACTCAGAAGCTTTGCGTTCAGTATTTTAACCCTGTGCTGACACAAAGGTAAGTCCTAAATCTCTCACAGGTGCCACTTCTCAGTGGTGAGACGACACTGCAGGGAAACATCTTTAAAATAAAATTGAAAAAAAAAAAACGTTTCAAAATGAAAACAGAGATTTTGCGTAAAGATTTTTAATTTTTCCTTGATCTGCTGTAGATTGGATGGCTGTAAACAGATATCAAGCTGGATTTAGTAAAGTCGTGCCACACCTGGCTCACTGTTTTTTTTCTCCTGATTGCTGCTTTTCTTTTATTTTCTGTTCTGGATTTATTTTATTTTATTTTATTTTAAAAACAAGTGAGTGTCTGCTTAACAATCTGTACAGCCTAATGTTGAGCAGGAGACAATCACTGTGATAATTTCAGCCATGATAAATCAATAAAAAAAAACTTGCTGTACAGGCCAAGGGTCAAATACAGATCATGACTGATTTTTCATAAACATTTCCAGTAAACTTTCTACATCAACCATCAGTTTTCCATAAATATACTGCATATTTTATCTACTATCTGAACATATCCTGAACGAGGGACAAATAGGCACATTCAAAACACACTCAACTTTTCTTGTCTTTCAAAAGCTAAACTACATTAAAAAGCTCAAGTGTAAAATATTTTAACTAATATAGGTGACGGTGAAGTGATTATTTGAATAAATTTAAAAAACAGAGCAGAGAAACTAAGTTTTGTGCCAAAACTGGATCGAAAGTACATCAAGTTCTAAGTAAGCAGAAAATACACAAATTCACTAATTTTCCATTGCTGGACTTCTTATTTAGGAAGCTGAGTCTCTGTTTTATTGTCATAAACTATCTTGTAATGCCACCCAGTGATAAATGATGGCAGCTTAAATAAACCCTGGATGTAAATATAATATAAACCAGTTTTATTATCCTGAATGGACCGGGGCGACTAACTCTGGCCTCCTTCAGGTTCTTACTGCGTGAAGTCGGTGGTGTTCAACACTTACCTGCCAACCAGGCGGAACCAGGGGAAGCGATCGTAAAATGGGTCACCTCCTGTCAGCGCGCTGTCACTCTCCTCTGTGGTGGTGTTGGGCAAATCTGCCGCACGATCGTACATCTCTCTCATGAGATCCAGCCTCTGCCTGCAGGATGTGACAACAAATATCAAACATTTAACTTGACTGATGTACAAGACGTAGTTAACACTGAATATTTATTACAACTCCAGCTCTCAACAACCAGGCTCCATCTTATATTAAAGATCTTAATGTACCATGCCAACAGAGCGCTCTGCTCCACCCTTCTCTTACACGCCTGTAATAGACGTGTGGTGTTTTAATTCCTAAAATAAACCTTTATTTTTAAGCATCTATGTACTTTTCCTCTCTAAATCTGTAAAGTTGGGTTGCTGCATAGTTCATGAAGACTTTTCTGAGGGAATATTCTTTCTTCCTTTCAGACTTATCCCCGAGATATCTAATCTTCCACTTTCGGCACAAGGTGACAAATAAATCAGGAGATTTTTATGAGCAACAGGATACAAAAATATCTAGTAGGTTTCTATTGGTAGGTGAGGTAGGAGGTGTGTGGAGCGTTGCATGAGTAAACAAACCAAAGGAGGTGTTATTGTTACAGTTACTGAATCTGACATACACTAAAGCAATTAGATCAACTTTAAAGGCAAATATTAATCATGTGGTTTACTTTCTGGTCGATCATGTTCTTTTTTTTACTTAACTATAAAAAACTGAAAAAAACAAACAAAAAAACCCAACAAAAAACAAACAAACTGACCACTAGGGGGAGATTCTTGATTAAATAATATAATAACACAAAGTGACCCTTTATATGCATTTTTTTCCATTTAAAAAACAGATATTGAAAAACAAAGAAGGCATGGTTATTTTATTTTCATTTTTTACTTTAAAACCAGAGAAGCCGTGCGATGTCTTATTTTTCTCAAACTGCAAGTTTAACACCCACGTCAACTCAACAATAGTCTGTGCTAAAAGCAGCAGAAGCTCCAGGATAATCAGGGAAAAACAAACTACAGCTGACACCTGTAAAGAAATGTAAAACTAGTCAGCTAATGTTTATTTACTGGTTAGCCAGTTATAAAGTAAAATGTGCTTATTCATCCCATCATCACACGATTTATGGTGGAGTGAGATTAAAAAAACCTTTTAATAACAGCAAACATTTCTTTAATTATTTAACTGTATTTTCTAGGGGTGCAAAAATACAAGTACCCGTATTGAATCGTTCAATACAGTACTTTAGGTACAAACTTGTATCGAAAAATACAGATTTTTAGATTTTTTAACATTTGTTTTTTCAACTTGTCTTCTGAAGATGCTCTGTGTTGAAGGCTCCGAACTGAATCGTGAATTTTCTGTATCGTTGCACCCCTAATATTTTTATTTATAGCTAGTTTAGCAAATTTCTAATAAAAAAAATCAATCTCCTCTCCTTTTTTTAAGATTTTGTCATCTTTTCCAAGATAATGAGAGGCTGCTGGTTGATTATGGAGGACCGTTCATCACAGTGTGCAGACGATACAACTACAGGGTGTGGTTCAGAAACAGTCATCCTGCCATCACCACAGGGTGGCTCAGTTCAAGGAGCCCAGACTGATCATTACCGTAATAAACTCTTTGTACTTTAAAGAGATTCTATTTTTGTCAATGTGGGGTTGCGTGGAGTCGTTGTGAGCAGTCAGTATCTTACCTGCAGTAGATGTAAGCCTGAGCAATCTCAGTTTAAAGAATCAGGAATAAACTCTCATGGAGTCAAGCTAACAGGTCCTCAGAGTTCAAGTTAGAGCAAATCTCTGTAATCTTAACTCTAAATGTCCAGGCTGTTCGAGTGAAAGTGTTTTTACTCTTTATCACTTCTGCATCGGACAGTTTTTTTCACACTGATTGCAAAACGTGCAAGACGAGTTGCAAAACAACATGTTAAATGTACACAGTTTAAGTATCTGATGCAAACGTGATAAGTGTAAATATCCACAATTTAGAATTTGCTTGAACATCTATAAGTTTGTTTTCATGGCAGACCTACAGAACCTCACTGACCCGCATAAGGTCAGGTCAGTGAAAAAGGCCAGACTTATTCTGGCAGACCCTGATCACTCCCTCAATGGTGAGCTGAGGCTGCTTCCATCTGGACACAGGTGTCAGCTGACCAAATGTAGGACTAATAGCAGTTAAATTTCTTAATAGACATTTGTGATATTTTGTTTTGTTTTTTTTTTGTGTGTGTGTGTGTGTGTGTGTGTGTGTGTGTGTGTGTGTGTGTGTGTGTGTGTGT